CCTTCCTTGGGTACGTTCCCTCAGTCTTAAAAGTATAACCGCCTTTCCTATATCTCCTATTCCCGTATTCTTCAGAGTCCTCTTTCACCCCTTTTAGCAGTTAACCACCTTTTACTAGTTAAAAACTATGCATATTAAATTTTCCTTGTTCAAATTACTGGTGTGGTTTCTGTCTCCTGACGATCCCGATGGTAAGAGATTTGGTCAGCAGTGGGGTTTATCTCCCCTTCTAGTTTACATGTCTTACTGAGGCATCTACGGTTCTTGCTACCTCCTAATCATCAGATGCAAAAAGCATAATGTTGTCAGTAGGGTAGGCCAATGTGATGTTTTGTGGAACATCAAGATAATAAAAAACCTCTGCAGGCTAACATGACAGACAGCAAAACTGATATGGTCTTGAGGAAAGACTGTACTAGTGTACTGTTGGCCCTGCTGGGTAAAAGAAAACTGCTTCTGATGGTCCTTGCAAATTGGTATGAAGAGAAAGGCATTAGCCAAGTCAACAGCTACATACCAAAGCCAGGGGCTGTGCTGCATAGATAACAACATTTGTGTCAAGATACATCTAGGACTGCAACTGTGATAAGAGTAACCACTTGATTAAGTTTATGAAAATACATTTTCAAAGATACATCAGCATTTTCTATTTTTTCTAGGTGAGTTAAGTGGGGGTATGAAAGTTATTACCACTCCTGTATTTTCTATTCTTTGATGGTGGCACTAATTGTTGCAACTCCTCCAGGGATGCAGTATTGCTTCTGGTGTTCTACCTTGGTAGGGAAGGGCAATTTCAGGGGTTTCCACTTAGCCCTTCCTACCATAATTGCCTCCACCCCATGGGTCAGAGAACCAATATGGAGATGGGGATTCTATCAGGTTTCAAGTACAATTATACACTCAGGAACTAGGGAAATATGCCAAGTTTGATTTACAGTGGGCCCAGCTGGTCCATGGCTCTACACTGTGGTTAAGACTTCATCATCAACTGACTACTATTAGCCTCCACTTTATCAGTGGGCCGTTTTGGGTCCCTGGAAATTCGCATCAGTTTAGAGCTAGTGTCCAGTAATCTCCAAAAGATCTGGGCATTGCCTTTTCCTCAGTGTACAGTCACTCTAATAAATAAGCACAAGTCCCTCTGGGGAAGACTTGGAGGAAAATTATGGTATATACTTGCTAAGGGGACTTGCCTCTCCTTCACTCATGGGGCTCTGGGTCTGTGAACTAACTTAGGTCTGAAAACTGGTGACTTGCCCTGATCACCTATCAAATGTGCTCCCTCTCGACTTATCACTATCACATCATCTTGTTTCATTTACTTCTTGGCATTTATCATTGTCTGAAACTAGTTATTTGCTTAGCTGTATGTAATGAGTGGAGGTACCATGTGCGTCCTGTTCCCTTGATGTATCTCTAGCACCTACAATTGCAACAGACACTCAACTATTTATTCAATAAAAATAGCTAATATGCCAAGCACTGTTTATTATGTGCCTCATATAAACTGGCTCATTTAATCTTCACAAAAATCCTATGAAATATGTGTCCTTATTATTTCAATTTTACAGGTAGGGAAAATGAAGGCACAAAGAGATTAAGCAACTTGCCCAGGGTCACACTATGGGAATAAAAATCCAGGAAGTCTAGCTCCACAGCTCATACTCAACCACAAGGCTATGCTGCCTTCTATATTTGTTGGATGAAAAAAATGACTGAGATTGATTAGAAAGAGATTTCAATAGTTCTAGCAGAAGTTCACAATGTCTAAACCAGGACAATAGCAGTGGAAAAACAAATTGAAGGAATTGATGTGAATATAACAGGTCTACTACAACAGGGCTGAAAGGTAAAGTTCAGATATTAATTTACAAGCCAGTTTACTTGAACAAGTGATTCCCATTAAAAATAGGAAGGGTGCCATAAACACTTTAAAAGTATTGAGAAAGGTTTAAGGTACTTTCTTAAACCATAGTATTACATGCCTTTTTTTTCCCCAAGAAAGCAAATTATAAAAAAAAAGCTGTATTTGTTCACATGTTATTTTTAAAGGAAAAATCTGGGGAAGGTGATGTGTAGCACAAAACACCTTAATTTGAGAGCATGAATTACAGACTAACCTTGCCTACGACTTTCAAGTTCTATAGACATTCACTCATTTTATTAACAAATATCTGTTCGAGTCTGTATTAGGCACTTTAGGTGATCAAAGTATGAAACTGGCAGATCTTGACTTCAAAGAACAGTTAACATGATTTACATATAAAAATGATAGGGAGGAGGAATCTATGCTGAGCAAATGCACAGAGGCAGTAAAACACAGGGTGGTTAAAAGAAGTGAACTGGAATACAGGACACATGAAGGAGATCAAAAAAGGGTGAATAGTTTTCTTAACCCTAGATGATAGAGGACTCTGAGTAGGAGATTAAGGAATGAGGAAATACAGTTAGTCCCTGATTTACGACATATTCAAGTTACACAAACCATACTTAAAAGACTGTCCTTTTTTTTGCGGGGGGGTATATCTTATTGTTAGTAATTTTACAATGAAAGGATTAGGTGAAGTGTTTTCTAAACTTATTTTGGGGCTTCAGTTGCTTTAAAACATAGACCCAAATGCTGATTGCTTTGGTAAAGCTGACAGGCTGATTCCAGAAGTACTGAGATGTTACTGCAAAATGTATGTACATGAAGAAATAAAGAAAAGGACCATACAGACAACTCTTACTAATTTTCTGACTAGAAACGCCATCCCTATTCCCAGGAATAATTCAGATGATCCACAAGTGGAGTTATTACTGCAGCTGACAAAATGCCAATGTTGTCCAACTCCTCTTCATCGTCGGAGTAAAGTTTTATGATTTGTGTATTTTTTTATGTATGGATGAATGTATTAAAATATATCTGTAAGTTTATAGGTAATGTTTCCAACCCCCCAAAACAAATAAAGATCAGATTTATAAAGATACTGATAATAAAAGGCAATAATAATGAAACTAAACAAAAAACAAGGTACTCAACTTAACATCAGAACCTACTTACGATGCAGCTGATGGAAAAGAACCCCGTTGTAAGCTGGGGACAACCCGTAGTGAAGAATTTTGAGCAGGGGAATAAAATGACCAAAGTTTCCCCGGATTAATCTTTCAAAAGCACAAATCAGTAAAATGTACTAGAGAAGACTGGTTAGAAGGCTAACGAAATTGCACGGGTAAAGGAGTATCTGCATTAGGGTGGTGGCAGAGGAATGAAGGTGAGGTGAATGTGAAAAATGTTAAAGAGATTAAAATAATAATAATAAAAAAAGGACTGACTAGGCAACTGATAAGTTGTGAAGTGCAGAGAAATCAAAGATGGCCCTTTGAGTATGGATAACTGGGGGCTGGCAGTGTTATTAAAAGAGCAGGGAACACAGAAACAGAAATAGAGATACTGCCACTCGATATATTAAGTTGTTACTATCACTTGGTAATAACTTATGGCAATTTCTTTGCTTTCCTTCAAACAGTTTTATCTTAGGTTAGAAACAGAAAATAATAAGATATGGCATTTTTCCAGGAAAGTTTTAACCTAAAAATAGGGAACAAAAGCAGGAAAGACAAGAGATTACCCAAAAACAATCTAAACGGTCTCCAATCTAATACAGATGGCTCATGCGGCAACAGTTTCCATAGTATGCAAATACCGTATAACATACTTGAGAACATGGATCTTTTAAGAAATGAGCTACTTCTACATGTTATTTTTCTCCTATAGATACTTGTGGGAAAGCCTACATTTTAAGGCAATGTAGTATGGTAGCTAAAAAGTTGGACTTTGGAGCCAGACTGCCTCTAACATCCTCTAAACCGCTCTCATTATTACACTTTGTCTAATAATTTTTTTCTAACGTACCCAATTGAAAAAAAAAGGCTATGCAAATATCCTATATTTAAAATACATTCAAAGTCAGTTAACATTTATATGTATTTCTAAAACCTTGGTAACTGCTCATTGTTTGCCCTAATCTAAAAGTACCGGTAGTAAGAAATGAAACATTATATTGTAGCACCCCCTCTGGTAACATGATTGAAATACTACAACAAGATTATGTTTATTTAGCATGGCAGTTTTCCCTTTAGGATTAAAACATACTGCTATAATAATAAAAAAATAATATATTGTTGTTTAACGGTTATAGCAATAAAATCTATGTGTGGGTGAGGGGAAGGTAAGGAAAGAGGCTCCCTACTCTACGAGACAGATACAGCAGATTTCAAAATCTCATATACCACATTCCATTCACTTTATCAACATTTTATTGAGTATCTAATAAAGGCCAAATAAAATGCTAGCAGCTAGGACACAAAGTTGACTACGCTCGACCTTGCCCTGAAGGGGCTCTCAGTAAACAATTACAATCCAAGAAAGAGACTTGCATAGAATGCTATGTGATAACAGACTGAGGAATCTACATCAGACTGGGACACACGAGAAGACTTTCTCTATGATAATTAGTTAAGCAGAATTTTGGAAGAGGTAAAGTTAACTGGATTAAGAGGAGGAAAGGAAATTCTAGGCCAAAGGAACAGCACAAGAACACAGATCTCAGATAATCATGACATTTTCAGGGAAAGAAAGTGGCTCAATGTGGATCAAGTGAAGCATATGGGTTGGACAGTAGTAGAAAAAGCAAAGGCCATATCTCAAAAGGCCATACACAGTAAGTCAAGGAGTTTAAACTTTTTCTTAAAGGCTATATAGGGAGCCAATGAATGATTTTAAGCAGCTAAGTGTCAAAATCTGATCTACATTTTAGAAACATTTTTCTTTGATTTTCCTTTAAGTTACCAATACTTTGAAAATTACTAATAAATATCTAGTATGCTATAGACTTATCTCCTAAATAGACGAAATAATTCAATGATGTAACTTTAAAACAAAACTTAACAAAGCTAAAACATAATTTTGGAAACATAAAGAAAAGCAGCAGAAGCTAAATCAAACCATTCGTAATTACCTTTTAAACTCATCATGGTAGAATTCAGACTTGCAAGTTACCATCTCACCACCCTGGATGTCCTCACGACTTCTAACTCCCCCAAATACATAGAGTTCCATGGCAACTCCACAAGCTACTGCTCCAAACCTGAAAGGCCACACAGAGGATATCAGTTATTGGATGGATGCACAACTCATGATCTGATTCCCTACTTATTTCTCATGCTTGTTTTAAGTCTGTATCATTCAATCTTTCATGAATATGTGAGCTTTCCTTTTCCAGAAAATGGATTACTCATTTAATTTTATATAAACCAAATGCCAAGTCAAATAAAAGGTTAGTTTGAAAAAAAGGATGAGCAAAAGGCTCAGTTCTCCTGGAGGCAGTAGATGAAGGGGAAAGTACTAGCAATCTGACAAAGACTAAGTTCTAATGAACTACAGGGTGGAGAGAGAAAGAATGAAGACAGGGATGAGAACCACTGCTCCAAAATGCAATTAAGATTTAGATAGTAAAATAAGTGAAACGAGATAAAATGCCTGAAAGTTATAACTTATCAATGAGACAATACTGAGCCACTGGAATGACTGAAAAAGAAAATGTTGCTGTTGTGTGCATGTGCTGTGAGTCGACTCCGACTCATAGTGACCCTATAAGATTTCCAAGGCTGTAAATCTTTATGGGAGCAGATCACCAGGTCTTTTTTCCTGCAGAGTGGCTGGCGGTTTCAAACTGCGCACCTTTTGGTTAGCAGTCAAGCGCTGAACCACCGCGCCACCAGGGCTCCTTGAAAAGAGAATAGGAAACAGTAAAATAAGCTTATTTTGATAGGAATGTTAGTTTCAGTAAAGAATGCAGAAGGTTGTAGGAACCCGAAATGATTAAATTATCCAATAGTACTCAAACTCCATGAGGTTATTTCACATAACCCTTTGTACATTCATTGCTTACAAATTCCTTTAAAAAAAGGTAAATAATTTGCTTTATTTGCAAAAACCTTACACTTCCATATGGATGCACAGAGATCCAAATGATGGCTCTATTGGCCTCATGACCACCTGCTTTATTGATATGTACAAAAGTTTTTCTGAGAAATTCAGTGTGGTTGGAACATAGATGTGTAGGACCTAAAGCTAACAAGGGAAATTGGGGCCAAACTATGAGGGGCTTTTCATGCTTAAATGCATCACCTAAAAATTATTTACATTGCTATAATACATGGCCTTTCCCGAGAGAAACTATAATTATCAAAAATTTTTGATAACCTGCATCACTGTCTAAACTTATTCCTTATATCTCAAATTTATTTCTGCTTAAGGTATTTTCTTTTTCAGTGTCACCTTGGTGAAGAGTCATGACAGTGACCTTTTCTCGTTCCAAAAATATCCATCAACTTAAAAAACAGCTAAAAGAGAATGAACTCTGGAGTCAGAATGCCTCAGTTCAAATCCTGCCTCAGGCACTTAGCAGCAAAGTGAACCTGGGCAAATGATTACTGGGCCTCTAGTTCTTCATCTGGATAGTAACAGTACCAACTCACCAGCATGTAGGGAAAATTAAACGACTCACGTGTGCCTGGCATGTAGCAAGTGTTTTCTAAGTGTCTGCTATTCTTACGAGGCTTCACTGATTTTCTGTTTTTGAGAACAGCTATGTAGTCTTCCCTAATTTTAAATGATCTTTTGTACACTTTTCAATATTTTTTTAGGATGAAATACAGTTTAGGATGAAATAAGATTTATTTTACTGTCCCTACAAATAAAAAAAGCATAAAAGCAGCAAAATATACCTACATTTTCAAAATAAGTAATTTGCTATACTCTTCTAAGAACTGTATTTAATACTTCTTTCTTTAAAAAGACACACATGTATGTTAATAAAAGGCATTTAATTTAGATGTTTATCAGGGTTAAGGGGCTTCAGACCTAATGAACACTGAAGGAACCTACAGCATCTACATCCATTCATTTACCTCCTCTCCTTTAGTGGACAAATAGCTGTCCATTGTTGGGTCCTTGGATCATAGCACTCCACAGACTCAAACAATTTTCCATATGATCCTCCTCCCATGGCATAGATTTTCTTTTTCATAGCTGCATAGCAGCCAATCTGAAAAGGAGAAAACAACGGTGGGGGGAGGCAGCATTTATTATTAAACTTGGACTAATAAAAATTAACTTGTCTATAGAGAGCACTTTAAGATATTTATGTAAGGACTTGATTTTTAACAGTAAAACTAAGGTGTTTTTCAATACTAAAACACAGCATTTTAAAAACGAGGAGATGTAATCTACATATTGTTAATGTAATCTACATATTGTTAATCCTCAGAAAAGGGACTCTTCATCTAATACTATTTCATTAAGTGACATAAGTAAATAATTCTAATTTTTAAAAGTGATTCTTTCTAGTCTATTTCTTCACCACCGTCTAGAGAGTCTAAGATTGAGATTCCATGGAACCAGATGTTACTCTATTCCTGCCCAAAATAATTCAGTGAGAGAAGTATTATGAGTATATCCCAGAGCCTAGAGATATAAAATACCTACGGCACTGGACAAAGCTTGGGCTGACAGGTGAACTCCCACCTCAACAGGGAATATAAATAAAGGTACACCATGCTCTAAAAATCTAATGTGAGCCATGTGTTTTTCACTTTACTCAGTAAGAAATGGAAGTTTTCCACCTGTAGATCAATTTTTCTCCCCAAACCCAAATTCTGCACTAGATGATTAAGAAAGAAGATTTGGGAGGCTTGGTTCCATACTAGCTAAGTGCACTCAAAAAGGATTTATCAAGCAAATAACTTGGGACACAGCTGTGCCTCACTGAGCTTATGGTCAATGTAAATTCTAGCACATACTCAGTTCCCTATCTTGCTGTGTGCCTGTTGAGAGTGAGGGCAAGCCACTGATAATATTTTTAATTGATAATACTGTTAATTCTTTTTTAACACTGTCAATTGTACTAAAAAGCATATTTAGGAAATGAACTTGAAAATCCAATTTGGAAATAAACTACTACTTTTCACAAGATATAGTTCTCACCTTTCTAACCATGGTCAAATCAGGTTGCTTTGTCCAGGTCTTAGAATAAATATCATAACACTCCATGGAAATTAGCTCCTTTTCACCATCCTCTCCTCCCAGAATGTACAGCATCCCATCTATCTCCACAATTCCAAAGTTATGTCTTGCCTGAAAAGACACGAAAGATCTTTGTAGACAAAAGGTCAACTATCATATTGAAAGCTGATACTCATGTTGTTGTTGTTGGGTGTCATCGAGTTAATTCTGATTCAGGGTGACCCTACGTGTTACAATACAAAGTAGAACTGCCACATAGGGTTCTCTTGGCTAGAATCTTCACAAAAGCAGATCACCAGGTCTTTCTCCTGCAAAGCCACTGGATGAGTTCGAACTGCCTACCTTTCAGTTAGTAGCCAAGCACTTAACCGTTTGCTCCACCAGAGTTCCTTGATATTCATGTAGTTAACATAAAATTATAGATGTAATTTTATTCTAGTGTTCCAGCAAAGAAGCCACGTTCAAAACTATTTCTCCTAGTAAGATTTCTTAAACATTTCTGATTTTCTTAGCAGCTTATGCTTCTAACACAATAGACAGAGAATCCAAATCCAGTAACTGCTCAGAACAAGAGAGTTATATACCTGGTGAATTTGCTGGCAGTTCAAAACAGCTCATAACAAGGGGGAAAAACACTATCTTCTGGTTCAATAAAATTAATTTTGTATAATAATGGATAACAAGTTGTTTCCAGGGTGATATGTGAAAGACAAGTAAGAACTATGGCCACAAGGGCTGTCTGTGGTGGGGACAGGGAATAAGCTGACAGGTTCAATGTTACAGCTATTTGGAATTACAGAAGCCTGAGGTATTGAACATTCATTCACTGGCAAATATTTATTTAGAGCCTCCTATGTGCCAAGCACTATTCTAGGCACTGGAGATAGAGCCCTGAACAAAACAGACCAAATTCTCTGCCATTACAGAGCTTGCATTAACACTTGCTAAGGGGCAGGAGGGAACAAAGACTTGAAGAAGGCCAGGGAGCAGGCCATGCAGCTCCCTGGGGGGAAGATCATTCTAGATGGAGGGAAGAGCAAACACAAAGGCCATGAGGCAAGAGCATACTTAGGAAGTTTGAGAAGTTGCAAGGAGCCCAGAATGAGGAAGGGGAAGGAGGAGAAGCTAGAAAGGCAGGCACAAGCATATTAGGCAGGGGGTTTGGCAACATTGCTACTTCTCAGCACAAAACAAACTAACAAAAAATGTCAATGGAAAAAAAAATTAGAAACATCACACGCACAAAAAAGAAATATTTTACCTCATTCATCGGTGGCAATGCAGACCATGTATTTAAATCTGGATCATACTTTTCTCCTGAGCTCAGTGTCTGCTTATTTTCATCTTGGCCCCCGAACACAAACAAAAATCCTTCTGCAAAAATCAAAAGAGACACTCAAAAAATCTAAAAGATAAGTCTTCAACACCTATTCCCTGCTGAATATAATTGCCATAGCTCTTCAAGGGAGTATCGGAAGATATCTTCTCCAACAATGACATTCTTCTCTGGACTCAGGACCTCTCTTGCATTTCATTCCATCCTTGGTCCCAGAGCCAACATGTATGAGTCACTTTGACCATCTCACTTCACTAAATATCTGTGAGTGGATTCCCACTACCCTACAACATAAAAGGAAGACTGACACCACTCACTGTCATCACCAGCAACTCTGGGTTATCTCAGCTCCTCTACATCCTCCTGTTCCCCCAGCATCTGTGATTCTCGTACAGCTTCTGAACCACAGCCCACATCTGCTCATTCAAGACCCTAGGAACACTCAGATATGAGGCACTTGATTGAACTCTAATGTTCAAAACAGGATCTAAGAGTAATTGTCAAACTTCCTATTTTGTGTAATGGTGGATTAGGTTATTTGAACAAACTCTTCTGTAAAAGACATGTAAATTACTGGATGAGACATTTAAACAAAACCCCACAAACCAACTTCTTAAAAGAGAAGACAACAAGACAATAAGGGAAAACTGAAGGGGAAAAAAGGACCTAGAGACACCACTAAGCATGGAAACCAGTTTTCCTATGACGGCATTTGCCAATCTGGGAAAATTTTAACCTTCCTTGTAATGGCTTTGGGGGATTAAAGGGACAGACATCTAAGCCCTGGGCCCATATAGAGTGGGCCTTTTGGCAGGGGAACACTCACAGTGATTGCCAACCAGAATTAGTACCCAGATTTAAATCTCCTTGCTTGCCTAGGGACTCTGACACCTTGAATTTGATTTACAATAAATCAGTAACTAGTAGTGTTTTCAGGCAACTGGTAGAAACGAATGCAAAATTTCTGTGGAAGAAAGTACATTCAACCAAGGCTTAGATTCTAAGATCCTAAGGCATGAAATTATTCCTTCAAATAATGTTTAATGACCAGCACCCAGCCAAAGATAATCAGGCATAAGGCATACAAAGCAACTGTACTCTATGAACAAGAATGAGCAGAAGGAGACAATGGAAAATAGTATCACAAAGATTTCAAATACTGAAATAATCAGAAAGACTATAAAATAATGCTTAATATGTTTAAAAAAATAAAAGGCAAATTTGAAGGTAAGTAGGAAAACAGGATCTTTAGAAGTGACAGCAGATTTGAAAGAGATTTAAAGAGAAGTCCTAAAAATAAAAAAAGGAAAAAACAGATAAAACAAAAAAGTCAATGGATGAATTTAGTAGATTTGTGACAGCTTACGAGAGAATTCATTAAATGAAAGTGAGGAAAGAAAAAGAAATTATCACAAAGAATGCACAGAGAGACACAAAGATGGAAAACAACAAAAAGGAGGCAGGAGGCAGAGAACAGAGTAAAAAGGTGTAACCATGTTTGACTTCCAAAAGCAGAGGGAAAGAGAAAAATGGAGTAGAGGAAACATTTGAAGGCATAGCGAATAAGGATTTTCCAGAATTGATGAGAGGCTGAGCCACAGTTAAGAAGTCTAACAATTCTCAAATATGATGCAATTTAAAATATGATGTAAACCTAAATACACATCATAGTAAAATGGCAAAAAAAACAAAGAAAAAAGAAAATCTTAAATACAGACCAGGAAAAAAAAAAAAGAAAGATTAAGATTGACAATTGACTTAACAACAATGGAAGCCTGATGTCAGTAGAAAGACATCTTTAATGTGCTGAAAAACAATACATACCAACCTAAAATTCTATACCCAGTGTCATGGATTGAATTACGTCCTCCAAAAATGTGTGTCAGTTTGGCTGGGCCATGATTCCCAGTACTGTGTGATTGTCCACCATTTTGTCATCTGATGTGATTTTCCTACGTGCTGTAAACCCTAACACTATGATATTAATGAGACGGATTAGCAGCAGTTATATTGATGAGATCTACAAGATTAGATTGTGTTTTAAGTCAATCTCTTTTGAGACATAAAAGAGAGAAGTGAGCAGAGAGACATGGGGACCTTATACCAGCAAGAAAGCAGCACTGGGGGCAGAGCACATCCCTTGGACCTGGGGTCCTTTGTGCCTGAGAAGCTCCTAGACCAGGGGAAGATTGATGACAAGGACCTTCCTCCGGAGCCGGCAGAGAGAACGCCTCCCGCTTGAGCTGATGCCCTGAATTTGGATTTCTAGCCTACTAGACTGTGAGAGAATAAACATGTTTCTCGAAACCATCCACTTGTGGTATTTCTGTTATAGCAGCACTAGATAACTAAGACACCAGCAAAAATATCCTTTAAAATTGGTGGCAAAAGAATGAAATTTTCAGACAAATCTGAGATCTGGCCACCAGTAGACCAACACTGGAACCCTGGTGGTGCAGTGGTTAAGAGCTCAGCTGTTAACCAAAATGTTAGCAGTTTGAATCCACCAGCTGCTCCTTGGAAATCCTATGGGGCAGTTATATTCTGTCCTACAGGATTGCTAAGAGTCAGAATCGACTCGATGGCAACAGGTTTTTTAGACCAATATTAAAGTTAATTCAAAAGGATAAACTCCAGAAAGAAGGAAAGTGATCCCAGATGGAAGATTTGAAGTATAAGAAGAAGAACAAAAAAAGTGGTACATTTAAAGGAACACTGTACGTGCATATAAATAAATGAGATATATGTATATATATAAAACACATATGTGTGTAGGAACAAAGAAAAAGTCAGCACCACAAACAAAAGCACTATAAAATGACAGCAATAAACTCGCACCTATCAATAATTACACTGAATGTAAATGGACTCAATGCACCCATAAAGAGACGGAGAGTGACAGAATGGATTAAAAAACAGGATCCATCAATATGCTGTCTAC